TGCGAAATAAGGAGTCCTTGTGGCATGGGATGCACTACATACGACGTTACTAGCCATCAAACCGTATGGTCCGCCCCGCTGTTGGTTGGTCCCCATCGCTATCACTTTCAGGCGTTATGGGTCCCCGTGGTGCTCTCTCGGTCCGTCTATCTCACGCATCGGCGCCCATATCTCTAATCATAGGCACAAGCATAAGCCAATGTGTAGGCCTAAGCCTAACCTCAGAAGTTTAACCTTAGGTTTTAATGATGGTGCAGCTCTGTCTAATGGGCGAGGAGATTAGGGGAGAACTGAAGTCTCCCTTAATCTCCTCGCCCATTAGATCCTTCTACAACGTAAAACAAGCAGGCCTGCATTTTGGGTTTTTTCCAAAGTTTCTTTTCGTGTTAATTGGCGACCTCCTTCCACTTCTCACTTCAAACATAAGCAGAATTACCACTCCGCACTTCATCATGAGTTGTGCCTTTGATCCGAAGCTTGGCGCACATCCCAGTTCGTTTAAAATTCTGACCAGGAGTCGTATGGGTGGCGTAATTCGAAGCTGTATTTTTGTACTGAAATTTAACAGTTTAGGTGGACATGTGGGCTGTGGGTGTGATCGCTTACATTTTGATGTCTGGTATTATGCCATTCGACGACGATTGTCGCTCTCGGCTCTATACACATATCATCACTGCCAATTATGTTTATTATCCTCAGGTTAGTGTCCGAGTTTTACTACATTTATTTGTGTTCTTCCTTCCCGATAGGGCCTGTGGAAAAGTTGGGTATATTGGACGCTATGTATCGCTATTTTAGTTCTGGTCCGGATCAGAATCAGCCAAGCAGTTTGTCGACTGTCTTCTGGAGACGAATGCAGCCGAACGGTTGAGTGCTGTCGATGCAGCCCGTCATGAGTGGATGACCGGCGAGCGTGTCGTGCCGGTGGTGAGCACCAGAACTTCACGACCGGCTTCCGAATACAACACTATGCAAAGGGTAAGTCAACTGTCAAAGAATTGGGCTTACTTCTGTCCTTTCTGAGCTTGAGTTTAGGGTCATCTCACTTCATCTATTGTGCACCGTTTATACAGTAAAACATATGTACGCATAATTTTGACACACAATATATGCACAGTACTTCATTAATGGATTGAAAAACTTAAAGTCACCGGTCACGATGATTCCACTTTGACGAAATAAAAAAATCGTGGTGCTAAGTACTACATAGGGCATTGGTAAAACGAATACAAAGGGACTTTGAAGAACCCACGAAGTCGGGAACTCTTTCAGCTCCTTGCAAGATTTGATGAGCTTACTGCTTAAATAGAGGCTTATGGAAGAGCGTTTCCTAATAGAATAAAATTAATGGCTTTGTATATGATTAAACTGTTCTATTTGTGAAATTAAAACTGTTTTTGTTTTTGTTTTTCGATCTCAATATTGTTATGTGTGCTTTATTCAAAATTTATTCAGGGGGTGGGACTCAAAGAGTAGTTTAGTCTCCTTAGAAGAAATACGACGAGATAAGAAGATACGGCTGTTTGTAAGAATCCACTTATGGTTAGAAATGAAAACTAGACGAAATGATAGTAAGACTATATCAAGCGTGTTGCTGTCATTTCCCTTCCACATACACCTGCACTTGTGGGCGGGTCGGTCCATGTGGGGGGGGGGCGTATTGGAGAGTAGGTTTTTGATGCCCTATCACGCCGGTAAAAAACCGCTTCAGCTGCAAAACCGCTCCATGAAGTCTCATTGGGTAGTTCTTAACCCTCTCCCCCATGCACTTTCCCTCTAGTGAATGCTGAATTTATCGCAACCGCAGCCTTTAAGATCGAGCCTAAAGTACGAGCTTCGTGAAGATGGGATGCCTACAGTCCATTCAACTTCGGTTTTTTCTCCTGTTCTCCATTTCAAAATAAATGAGGCGATCAGATTTGAAATAGCGAATACACTAGCAGCCCAGAGCACCCTGCGTAAACCCAGAAAGCAGAGAGGGAATTTTCTGGGCTGAATGAAAATTTTCTCCACAGGCCTTTTTGCACACTCCGAAAATACCTGATAATTACGCGCTTTTCAGACGAAATCGACTCGATCAATTCGTTCTGTGACGCGGTCGGACCATGGCCATCGTGTGGATCCGCGGGAGGTCGATCAACTCGCCAATGACCTGAAAAGGGCCGCCCAAAGCACGAAAAACTACGGTGTTTTCTAGCGTCACCTTCATCGCGCCAAGTTCCATTCGGACTAGTTTTTACTACTTATTATTCGCTGCTGTCGCCGACTGCCTCCCTTCTGTCCTCTGACGCTTCAGCGACTGATGAGGGCAAAAACGGAGGTCGCCAGCAGCGTTGCACAGTCATATTACGGGATTTTCTCTTTATGCCTATCGAGCCTCGAATGAGTTCATCAGGGATCAATGGAGTAGTGTAGACACTCAGGCACGATTTTGTCTCTCAGTGCCCGGATGAATGAGCCGTCGTCAACGTGCCGTTGTCGTCATTAAGCTAGATTTCGATCGATTACAATACATTTGATCGATTGTTCGATAATCAATGATGTCGTCGTTTTCCTCTTCATCAAAAATTTTTGTACATATTAGGTGTGGAACAGTAGAGAATAACATTGTTGTATTTCGTTCGCGTGTGTGTGCCACATAATCTAGTCCTTTGGATATAAAAATTTATTACTTTTGTATTTTCTGTACTTTTCTACGGATGTTGGTTTGTTACCTTTTACTGTAACTTATATCTTCGAAGAGAGAAGTTAATGGTAAGCTGGGTTCAGAATACACGATGCCTGGGGCCGCAGATACGACACTGCCCTACTTGAAGTGTGATCCTGGTTTGCTTGTATTCTGACAGGTGAGACCCCAAGCAACACCCCCAGCATAAGTCGCCTCTAAGGATCTATTATTCATTGAGTTAAAGTACCCTGCAAGTAGCACTGATGTGACGTTGTCGCAGCTAGAAAATGCGCAACAATAGCGCTGGGGTCTTACAAAGTCAGCATTTGGCGACTAATCTTAGCATTTGGACGAGTTACGTAGCGCACACCCATGACACGCAACGTGGATTACGGCGTAGCGGCTAATTCAAATACGCGCGGGTTAGTTGAGCCGTGGAGCAGGCAAGTTCGTACAACTCGTCCGGCCCCGCCCCTTCCTTATTTCAAGGGAATTTTCGTTTTGGGAATTCACGACGGTTTCCTTCGCTTCTTTGTTTCATTTTTAGTCAGTTCTGCATTTATTATCAACCGCAGTGACCCCACAAATTTGATCTGAGGGGCGGTGCTTCATTCCCAAAATTCAAAAAAAAACACCAGTGATCTTTAAAATTCGCTCCACTGTTGTCAATAGTGTTTTGCCAAGATGTGCCTGGGTGGTGTATGCTTTTCCACCAGAAAAGCCTAACAACCACAAATGCCCGAGAACTTATGAATGTCCCTAATATTTCGTCGTGAACCCTCTGAGCTAACACAAAAAGTGCAGTGAGTAGTATCTCAAGGTTTCACAAGGTTATTCAATGGAAGCTTCATTTCAGTAGTGAGTTTATTGTCCACGTTAATGGGTTTGTCTGAAGTGTTTCTCAACACGATATCGTTACTGCTAGGGCTGATAAGGTGCGTGGTGGGGTGTAGTGAGGATCTGAAGCAGGGTCAACCGTTACGTTGGACCGATATTGGAGCGACGTTGGACCGATGTTCACCGCTCTCCGCGCCGGCATTCACTCTCGCCACCCGCGAGCCGTCTGTGTCTCCGTGCGTACGTTCACTCTCGGCATTACTCTCGTCGTCGCGTTGGACTTTGTCCAACGGACGGTTGACCCTGATCTGAAGCCCGAAACATGTTCATGCCTCTGAAGACGATGATTCAGGGGAAACTAGGCCATTTGAAATAAAAGTTCCACCGAGCAACCTCGTACGGCGCAAAACATTCAAATACACTTCCAACTAACATGCCAAGGTTGCAAGAAGAGGAAAGCTGAAGAATCCTCCGAAGTAGCGTTGTATTCTTGTGTGGTTTTCACCCAAGAATACAATGCTACTTCGACTGGAGCATCCCCTCTAGCTTAATATAAAGTGCCTCGTCTGTCGTCTGTCGCGGAATTCCCTACTTCCTGCGTCTGGAGAGAACGGGTAACGTGAAGCACAGACATGCATCAGCTAAGCAGATCTCCTCCGACAGTGGGCGTGGCGAACATCGAAATGAGCGGCACTGACGACCAAAGTTTCAAATTCGATTCCAAAACAGCCTAGAGAATGGGAAAGAAGGGTAAAGGTGCGCTTCCATAAGCTAGATCAAATTGGGAAAATACACCTTCGGTGGGGGGAGAGGGGGAAGGGTAAATCGGTATCATCAAGCGGCGAATCCTCAAATTCTGTAGACTTCACTCTATTTTCCTAGAATTTTCGAAAATTCCTTCAACAAACCCGTCTAAATGACAACCCATTTCGACGATCTCCGTTCCCGCTATGATAACTTTGCTCAGCCCCAAAATGCACCCCCTCTCATGAAATCACAAATGCGATCCCTTAGTGTATAGTGCGATTAGACAGTTGACCCTGCGGTCGAGCAAGCTTCCTGCGCTTTTGTCGAGCACTTTCAGGCCGCAAAAAGGTCGCGACATACCATTAATATTTACCATCCACTCTTTCTCTGACCTCTAAGCTCTCTAAGACTCCTCAGATCCGATTACAAACTTTTATGAACTTGCAGGGAACGCCCCGCCCATTGTGGGCGAGCCTCAGCTCAGGTCATTTTTGCCGGGATATCTTAGACAATGCTTTCCTGCACCAATTTTTTTCTGCTCCGTAGATCCTCCTAATCGAGTACTTAATTCTTCTATTGAGCAGCGCTTTTTCGGAAAACGCCTTCTCCTCCCCCTCCCCACCAAAGATGGTTTTCTTTACCGTGCTTGACGGTTGTTTTGGAGGAAAAAGTTGACAACTGGGTCTCAAGACGTCCGTTAACCGCGAGCCTTGGTGGTTCAGGAGACGGTCAAGAGTCCCCCGCGACCGCCGCGCCAAAACTAGGTCACCGCGCGCGACGTCGCCGGTGTTTCTGCAATTTGCCGAGTTCAGGACCCCTCTCCAGACGATCGATACAACGCTTTCCTGTTCCCTCTGTGTAGGCCCCATTCCTGCATTTGTTTCAGCTTAGTCCTAGCAACTTGATACGTTTCAAGCTGGATAAGATAGCCGCCGCGTGCGGTGACCTACTTTCGCTTGCGCGGCGACCTCAGGGGATTCTTGTCTCGCACCCTGGTGGTTCAGCGTTTTGTAGTGATGTCTGGGAGCTCTCACAAGTGCACACTATCACAGCATCTCCTCTTTCTTTAGCTTCTTCGAAAAGGCTTAGTCCCAATAAGACCTCTTCCAGCTATGCTCTCACCCTTTGACTGTCAGAAGCCTTACAACCGGGCAGTTGGGCTGTGTCGACTGGTATCAGAATCAAACATAGTAACAGACATGGCGGTGCGGGTGATGGTCAAGATGAAAGCTCTCATTGAGGAAGACTTCTAAAGATGAGACTGGTGGTGGTGGTGGGGGTCGCTTCGAGACTCCCTAAAGGAGGGGTCGCAAAATTCTCCAAAAGTTCGGACATGACAGTTGACTCTGGCCATTCCTTCGTCCACAAGCCCAATATTCCGATGTTCAAAAGCGCGGACGCAGTTGCGCCAGCGGTTGCGTTGCGGTTCAATGTCATTGGCACTGGAGCAACTGCAGAGGTTGTGAAACTCGTCCAACACGCCCCTTCTCTATCCCAAGGTGGAATGCGGCTGAAATAGAGGAGGTCCTTATTCGGGGCGTAATCGGGGTTTCTCTTGCTTTCCTTTCCTTTTCAGACCAGTCTCCACCTCTAACTTCGTCAGTGAACGCTCTTTTCCACCTATTTTATCCCGAGGCTCGCCGAAGCCATCTACCAAATCAAAGTCTGAAAACATTAAACCGAGGATTTATCTACGAAAGGCAATGTATTGGCTGTAGTTTAATCTTTTCACCATATTTATGCCTTCACTGTACATTCACCGGCTTGCGTGGGTTAGCCAATGTACAAGTAAATGTTTTTATTCTCCAAGACAAGCCTCGTTCCAACTGACCGACCCCGAAGGGAGGGAACGTTTTGGCTTGCCTGAACGACGCATGATCCAAGATGAGATTCCCGTTCCCGGACCGTGCCCGTGGTAAGCAGCGCCACCTGCCACCACAACTTCTCCAATCCAAAACATTTCAATAAACCAACAAATGTTTATTAATGCATCACTTGTGGAGGCGCATTCTTTTTTTGTCTTCCGTTGAAATACGAACTGAACCATCCGTAGGGGTTGACCTTGTTCTGGAATTATTGTTCAACAACAAAAAAATTATTCAGCGAGAAGAGATACCGTAACTTTGTTGAAAAGCTACACATGATTATGCTCTTCCTTCTGAGCAGTTCTCTTTCTGGGCTACTACGCTTTCCCTGGGGAAAGCGGAATCTAGGGGAGGGCGAGGCAGGAGTAAGGGAAGTCCATCTGTTCAAACTGGGTACCCGAAAGACGGACCGTCACGCGGTAAGGCACGGTGAGCGGACAAGCCGCAGCGATTGTAGTGATTTAGCGTCAAGTTGAATAGAATGTATCACTGTACGCCTTATGGAGTGTTCAGAGTTGGTGATCGTACGCGCGATTAGGCGACTGGGCGTTTATTCTATTACCAGTTCTGCTCCGCCCGCGATAACCCGCGTTCTGCGTTCTAACGTCCCTTACCAGATCTTATCAGTGGTTATCCCTTTCTGTCCCCCACAAAATATGTCCCCTTCCCACCTCTCCCCCTATATGATATCCTGAAATCGGCACTCATGTCCTTAGGGGGGACATTGAAGTGGTGGGCCACTCATAGAACTCGGGACTAGCCTTAGGGAGGGGATCCAGGGAGAGAGTGTGAGCAACCGTTGTTCTCCCTGGTATTTATTTCCGATCCTGGGCTTAGTCCTAGTGTCATTTCCCAGTTCACTTCTCACTTCCCAGCGGTTCTTAAATACCCTGCTCTTTATGTCCCTCCTAAGGAAATGAGCCCCCTGAAAGCATCTCCAGGTGTCTGCTGGTACGCGCCTACGAATTTCGTGACAAATACACGCACATACACGTAGACCTACACACACACGCACAGACATACTCGGCGAGTTGCAATGTTGGGATAAAAAATATACGTATAGATTAGGCGATCAGACGA